CACCGAGACATGGAGAGAGAGAGAGACCGAGAGATACAGAAGCGGTCTGCCGATGGACACCCTGTAGAACATACTGCCGCTGACCCTCTGCAAAAACTGTCCTGTTGACAGGGGTCGTCTATGAAAAGCCCTGGAGGGGGCTCCATCTGAGCGTCGGCTATTTCCTCCACTCTGCCCGCAGCTGACCACTCTTTGGCTTTTTATGTTGACGTCACAATTTTAAGTTTAAGTACAAATAAGGGTGTACAGGTTATATTAATAAAGATATAGCATATTTACAAAATATGGGGTGGTAGCAAATAGGAGCAGTGTACATTTTAATAGAAGGGTATGATTTTATAAAGTATCGGCTCTAACTAATTGGAAGATATGTGACATATACTAAAAGTGTCATTATTATACAGTTTAAAATATACTACACATATATATATAATATTTTTATAGATGGAAATTTGCCGGGAGGAAATTGATCTAAAGAGACAAGGGTCGCCTCTCCCGTCAAAATAGACGTCTAAAACCAGACGCCATCTATTGACCGTCGCCGCAACTAGCGGCCTTAGGGTCGGTGACAAAGCCACAACACCAGCTTTGGCAAACTGAAAAACGACGAGGGCCATTAGCCCGAAACCATGGTCTCTAGGTGGACGCTTTTCAGTTTGCCAAAGTTGGTATTGTGGCTTTGTCCCCGACCTGAGGCCGCTAATTGAGTCGACAGTCAATAGATGACGTCTGGTTTTAGACGTCTATTTTGACGGGAGAGGCGACCCTTGTCTCTTTAAATATATATATATGACAAAAATATAAATAGAAGGTGAATATTGACTTATCTTTATATACATATATCAAACCACAAATAAAAAAAGAAAACCATCAATATATTTCACAATAAATTAAAAAAAGAGAAATACACAATAAAAATAAATAAATAAAGTCTTTACTTTTTACGGAATAGAAATAAAAGCTTTCAGAAGAAATGGAATTAGATTAATGAAATACTTTCTGAGAGGAAAAAGACCAAATTGGAAAAGTAAAGGGCAGGTATAAATAATTCCAAACCTAAATAATTTATAACAAATTTGGGGGTAAAAAAATAACTTTTAAACGAACGTTTCAACATATTTCCCCTGAGATTATAACTTAAGATTGGATAGTTTATATTGATTCATTTGGAAAGAAAAACCTTTTTTTTTTCGAAGAAAAAAAAAAAAAATTTTTTTTAAACGGAGAAATTGGCACTTTTGTTTGGTCCCATTGCCATTTTGTCATTCGTATTTTCAATTCAATCTAGCAACCCTTTTTTAAATCTCTCTCCTCAACTCTCTTATGATGGTGATCATGACTTTTTTCTTTAAAGCGTTTTCTCTTTTTTTTTAAACCGAATTCGTGTGAGTAATTTTAAAATTATTCTTTTTTTTTTCTAAAGTAGATAGTTTTAAGTATATTGTGTTCGATTTCTCTCTCTGTGTAGATGGGGTTTTTAAAGTGATTTCTTTTTCTATGGAACTTTTTAGATGATTGTTAGAGTTGATTATAGTGAAGTAAAATATAAGTTTTTTTTTGTGTTAAAGATATTAATGTAAATGAAGAATAAATGTGTATTTATAGAGTATATATCAATACACCTATCCCCCGATTTACACGGTAGATACGTTCCTGAGAAAAACGTGTAAATCGGGGGATAGGTGTACACAGAAATAAAAATAAAATGCATTGACAGGTTAAAATATGTAGTCAGCACATAAGCTCGGGATTCCTCGTGAGATGTGTACACAGCGCATGTGTTCAATCACAGTAGCATTTAGTATAGTGCGATAAAAACAAAAAAATATTTGGAAAACCGTGTAAAAGCGAAAACGTGTAAAACAAGTATCGTGTAAATCGGGGGATAGATGTATATGGAAAAAATAGGGAAAACGTGAATTAAAAAAAAAAATCATACATGTCTATAATAGTTTCGAATTTTCATCACTGAATTATATTTAATTTTCCTCCTTTGTTTAATCTCGTTATTCAAACAACTGAAAAAGATATATATAACGAAAGCTTCGATGTATTCAATACAATAAGTGGTCTGTAGATTAATTCACATAGTAAATAATATGTGATCAACGAGCTTCCTATAAATAAGAATCAGTTAATGTGAATTACTAAGGCCCATCACGTATTTCTACTCCCCATGGAAGTCTGCCCTTCCTATGGGAGTAAATCTAGGGTTCACTCACTAAACCTTAATCCTATGTTTCCATCACATAGTACTTAATAATACCCCATAATTGTATTCTACCAACGTAGTAATCCCTTAATAAATCTCTATGGGATTACTACCTTTTTGTAGTTTATTGTATAGCCGCTCTCTATGTGTGGAGAACAAACTTCTATCGTTACATAACTTTTAGTTGATAATTTTTTGTATCGTCAATTTAGCGCCATCTATCGGCGAAATTGATGAATTATTGTATAGCCGCTATATGTGGAGAACAAAATTCTAGCGTTACATAACTTTTAGTTGATAATTTTGTGTATCATCAATTCAGCGCCATCTATCGGCGAAATTGATGAATTATTATATAGCCGCGCTATGTGGAGAACAAACTTCTAGCGTTACATAACTTTTAGTTGATAATTTTGTGTATCATCAATTCAGCGCCATCTATCGGCGAAATTGATGAATTATTATATAGCCGCGCTATGTGGAGAACAAACTTCTATCGTTACATAACTTTTAGTTTACATATTTGCATAATCAATTTAGTGCCATCTATCGGTGAAATTGATGAATAATTTTTAACACAACAATTATTTATATATACAGTTAAACCTGTCTATAGCGCCCCCCTCTTGGGACTCACCAAAATAGGGTGCTATAGAGAGGGGGTGCTATAGACAGGTCAATTTTAATGTAAATATCTCATCGTACTACGTATTTAAAATTGTTGAAATTGGCAATTGCAGATATTTCTACAATATTTGATATGCAGATATTTACATAGTATTTCAGTATTGTCTATGCAAATTGACATCTCTGCATATATATGTATCACAGCTTTGTTGGATTGTTAGTAGGCTAGCGGTTATTTGAATAGGGCAGGCCAGCTGCTGATGTAAATATAATTTGTCCTTCTTTTATAGTTTTATATCTTTTGGTAATAAAGGTTATTTCTCTTCCTCTACGAATCTATAATTTTTCCCAACAAAAATCGGGCGCTATAGAGAGGAAGGCGCTATTTAGAGGGGGCGCTATAGACAGGTTTACCTGTATATATGTTATGAATATTTTGTGTTGTTGTTAGATTAGGCTTGATAAGACAAAGGATCGATAAGATAAAGGGTTGAGGTGCAGTCGTGATAAAAAAAAGATAATTATTTACCGTCAAGTAGCTTTTATTTTCAATTACTTGAGGAAAGATTACACATTTGTTAGTTTCACATTATATAGAATTTATAATTTAATCCTATATTAGTGATTTAAAAGGATTGATTGGTTAACTACGCATATTTACAACAAAATTATACAACTAAAACTGAAAGTCTTTCTAAAAACGATGATAACAAAAATAAAAATTATCAATGAATAAAATAAAATATATATTTTTTAAAATATAGAAATTTTTGAGGTTTTAGATTATATAATATTTTTAGATTATATAATATATATATATATATATATAACTTGTCTTTAATATACGATTTTATTTTGGTAAATATGTAAAAATATCACTTTATGCATTTAAAATAATAATAGAGGGTCGCGGTGGAAGGTTGTTCTAAACCGTTGGTTTTCGATCGCTACGACCCGGGATCGAATCCCGCATTGGGCACTTTTTTATATATATAAAAAAAATTAACCAATAGCTCTCGATTCTTGCAAAAGTCAAACCCTACCATCGAGTGTAAATAATTAATCGGGGTTATGGCACATTTGTAAGTAGAAAAATTGAACTGCTTTTCACATGTGTAGACAATGTGGTGCACTTACAGTAAAACCAGTCGCCAAATTCTACCCACCATGATTATCATGGCCTGTACCACTTGTACTAAATATAGTTAAATAATAATTACTTTTTTTTTCTTTAAAGGGAAGACTTGTAAATTGGTGTAAATGTATTATGACTCTCTTGAAATGAAATAATTAAAAGATATAATTGAAATAACTCTCTATTATATAAAAGAGAAATATAGAAATAATTAAAAACTTACATAACAATGAATACTTGAGAAATAATTAAAATCAAGTTTTAGAGTAGTTTTACATTTTATATAATTAGAGGTTTTTTATTTTTATTTTTATTTTCTGAAAGAGTTCCTTTTTATCAAGTGTGTAGAGTCTTTGTCAGAAAATGAATTTGAATTGTTACCTGTTTTTAAGATTTAAAAAATTTGTTAGAGAATTATTCCTTTCTATACACTCATTGACAAAACCTAAGAAACTGGAAAGTCTCTGATGTCGTCGCCTGTCGTTTTTTTTTAAGGAGACAGAGGCTGTTCACACTAGGTTACCTCGTGTGTCTTCAATAAAGGACACTGTAATATCTTTCAGAGTTATTGTCTGAATCCCGATATACATGCTAAAAGGTACAACTTCCTTAAGTTTTGTCTATGAGTGTATACACACTTGGTTATCTCGTGTGTCTTCAATAAAGGTCACTGTAATATCCTTCAGTGTTTTTATCTGAATCCTAATATACAAGATACATGATAAAAGGTACAACTTCCTCAAGTTTTGTCTATGACTGTAGATTATATATATTGACCTTATGTGGCGCTGAGATTGTTGTTGACATACATTAAATATGTTATAATACCTTGTGATAAAGGTTGGCGTTCAGCCAACTGAAATATCGGTAAAATAAATGATATTTTGATCCAATATATGCCTTTTTAATTAAAGTGTTATATATTAATATATACAGTTATCAGCGTCATAATCAATTCTTTCTTAATCAATTCTGTCACCGTTTGCTTTTGTGAATGGAATAAATACCCAAATATGGCCATTTCTCATGACCATCGGTGGTTCAGTGGTAGAATGCTCGCCTGCCACGCGGGTTGCCCGAGTTCGATTCCCAGGCGTTACATTTTTTTTTTTTACAATTTTTAAAACTCATTTATATATTATACAAGAATGACATCCACGGCGCCAATTTATAATTGTAACGAATAGTATTTGAATAAAATCATTTAATCGGGTAAAACCCGGGTGTTGCCCGGGTCATTCGGCTAGTATGTTATATTCATGATAAATTGTTTTATAATTTGAATATTATGATAAATATTCAACTTTATTCAACTATAAATACAAAGCGCGATGTCCCGCCAAGGACACTGGCGCCCAAAGGAAAGCAATACAAGAGAGAGAGAGAGGGAGAATCTATTTATATATCCAAAACAAATGCTCAAGGCATTTACCATATTCTTGAAATTGATTTCAAACAAGCATACTATATACATAGGTAATTTAATTTAAACACACCTCAAAATAAAGAAAAAAAAGGAAAAAAAACCCATATATACAGCACACATAAGTTACAATTATACCTAACACTTGAGATTATTTAAAAACTTTGATATAAATTTTTGAATATTATGATACATAGCGCGCATCTGTTATCATAATTCGAAACTATTATAGACGCGTATGATTCTTTTAAAAATTAAACATTATCTACTACCCTTACTGCGCTGGGAGGGTTCACCACTGATGAGCCAGGCCCTCCCATTAATTTTTCCATCGCAGTAAGAACATTAGAAATTGTTTTATTTTTATAAGAGAATCACATACACGTCTATAATAATTTCGCATTTGAATATTGTTTCATTTTCAAATAAATAAATATATTAATCAAGATTGGGTATTTGGTCAATTCTGGAATAATTAAAAATCAACAAGAATAGTTGATATTTATTCCGATAGATGGCGCAAGCCATCAGCAACTTTCAGTTGCACGATAAGGAGATGCCTTTTTCTTAAATATATATATGTAAAAAAGTTATTATATTTCTGACTCTTTTTTTATTTTCCTAAAATAAGATCATCTTATTTGTAATAAAAAACAAATTTTTAAATTTAAATTGTGGCACTAATGGAAAAATCCATTAATTTATTTCACAGAATTTTTACCATTGATTTTAGAAATAGTTTAATTACTGGGAGAGAAATATGTTTTTTATTTAATGTAAATATTAGTTGACTTTTCTCTAACAAATATTGATATTTCAGAAGTTTTTTAATGTAAAAGGTACATGTCTACATTAATAATTAAATGTATTTATGTAAGAAAAAAGTGTTTGTATAATTTATTTTCTTTTTTTTTTATAAAAAAAAGAAAAAATTTCAAAATTACATCTCCACATAATTTTTAAAAAAAGTAAAATTTTAATTTCAAATTTACGTGACCTACATTTTATATTCATATTGACTAAATTTATTATTATTTTTTTAACAGGAAAAAAAATCTTTCTAAAATTCACTAAAGTAATTATGGACAAAACAATTAAAGAAAAGTATTAAAAAAATTGAATAATTTAATGTAATTTTAATATAGTTGGTTCTCTAGGTTTTTATGTTTTTCTTCTTTTTTTCTTTAAATAAATATGGTAGAATATGTTTTTATGTGTATATGGTATAATGATTAAACTAATATATTGTGAAATTAGAAAGTATTTTAATATATAAATCATTAAATTTCTCATTTAATTTTTTGCATCGTTTGATTTTATTTTTTATATCGTCTGCCTAAAATAATAATCGTCTGCTCAAAATAAAAATCATCACAAATTGTTCAAATTTTGTTTTGAAATAAAATGGTTATCGCCTTTATCACTAAACAACATTTTTGTAAATGACTATCATTAAGAATTCTACTTTTTGCCCCTATACTGTAATTAACTGTGGGTTATTAAATAAATAAATAAATATATATATATATATATATATATATATATATATATATATATATATATGTTTTCCCTCATTTATAAAAAATAGATATTCATAATTACCTTATATATATATTGTTATATATGCAAATATTTCCGGGAAGAAAGTGATATATAAAAGCATAGGAAGCTTCTCCCGTCAAATTAAACTTTAAAACTAGGCTAGAAATTCATCTATTGACAAGGGCCATTAGCCCGAAACGATGGTCTCTAGGTGGACTTTCTCAGTTTTTAAAAGTTGGTGTTGTGGCTTTGTTACCGACCCGAGTCCGCTAGTTTGTGGAGACTGTCAATAAATGGCGTCTAGTTTTGACATCTATTTTGACGGGAGAGGCGACCTTTGCTTTTATATATTATCATATATATAATCTTTACTAAAATCTATACTGTCTATATATAACAAATGAAAACATTAAGACGTGAATTTTTCTTTTCAAAAATAATTCAAACTTCTACTGTCCTTACTGCGATGAAAAATATTGGGAGGGCTTGGCTCATCAGTGGTGAACCCTCTCAGTGGTTTCGCCAATTTAATCCACCAGACCGCTTCTTTAGAGCTCTAATACTGTATTGGATGATTCTGCTTATATATGTTACACTGAAGGGTGGAATATTATAAATGGTATTTAAGTAAACTATGGACATAAGCTTTTAGGACAGTAGAATTACATAGAAATATTTCGAGCAATGCTCTTCCGCAAACAATGTGATTTATTTGTGGAAAGAAACATTCGCGTATTAATGTTATAGAAATTCTATCTCAATTTAAAGCGCTATGTCCCCCTATGGACACTTGCGCTGTCATACATTAATGCCTTTACATTTGTCTATACATATTTATAATAATTTTAGGCCGTGAATAGAATAGTCATATGATGTTAACAATGAAAAAGAGAGGAGAAAAAACGAGAAAAAAGAACTGTGTACCAAAGAAAGAAGTATCTGGCAATATATACAATCAACATAATATACATTATCAGTTTCTTAAAAGATATTTGTTGCTATATAATTTGAAATATATCTAAAAAAGGTATTGAATTTAATATACAAATCTTTATTGGAAATAAAAATACTTGGATCTGTTTTTTTTTTTTTTACCATTAATGTCGATTCTATAGTATTGAAAAACAGGGCAATCTAGTAAAAGGTATATTGAAGGATAAAATTCAACAAAAATGGAATTATATATATTGTTACGCAGAAAATTATCAAAAACAAACTTCAGATAATGTCAATTGAAACAAATTTTATTGAAATCTTGTCACTAATTTACATAAAAAATGGAAATAAAACTAAAATATAGATGATCATGCGGGGGATGTGCCCCGGCGAGTGAGCCTTCTTTCCCGGCGATGAGCGGGTCCTCTGCTCCTCCGGTCAGCCCAACCTGTATGAAGTACCGGTAGATGATGGATTTGACAGACGCTAGGATGGCTAAGTCGTCATCTTCGAGGCCAGACCCGAAAATCCAGGCCCGCAAGTCAGGGGGGTCGCCCAAGGACACTGAAAGCTTCGATGATGAGGGGCCTGATACGCCTGCAGCTCCAGTAAGACAAACATCAGGATGACACAGCAATTTATTTAAGGCAAGAACACAAATCCACATTTATAAGATACAAGTTAAGCATTGAGGGAAGTATCCAGAGCAAAATATAAACAATATAAATATAAACATTAATAATATGTAAATAAAATATAATAAATACTTTTCTACAATATAATATATATATAATTAGGAAATATATGCGAAAATTTAATATTTATATAAATTACATCTATCCCCCGATTTACACGGTACATTTTTTACACGTTTTCGCTTTTACACGGTTTTCCAAATAAGTTTTTTTTTGTTTTATCGCACTACACTAAATGCTACTGTGATTGAACACATGCGCTGTGTACACATCTCACGAGAAATCCCGAGCTTATGTGCTGACTACATATTTTAACCTTTCAATGCATTTTATTTTTATTTCTGTGTACACCTATCCCCCGATTTATACGTTTTTATCAGGAACGTATCTACCGTGTAAATCGGGGGATAGGTGTATATATATTTATTATTAAATTAAATTTAAATGCCATCTATCGTTAAAATATTACACAAATAAATTTACTGGCAATGCGCTTCTTTTAAATATCATCAAATATTATCTCTACAGACCTTACTGTATTGATATAAGTTATTGAATGAGAGGGATTGGCTCATCAGTAGTGAACCCGCTCTATTATAGAGATTAATTTGGCGAAACCGCTGAGAGGGTTCACTACTGATGAGCCAAGCCCTCTCATTCAATAACTCATATCATTGCAGTAAGGTCTGTAGAGATAATATTTGATGATATTTAAAAGAAGCGCATTGCCAGTAAATTTATTTGTGTAAAAATATATATATATATATTTATTATGTTTAAAAAATAATTGTAATGCAAAATATACATAATTAGAAATGATTTAATATATATATTTAATTAATTTAATATAAAAGCTTTTTATTATTCTAATTTATTTTGTTGAGAAAATGATAAATTCTATAAAGCAGAAATAAAATTGAAATTTCATTTATCACAGAAAGAATACAATTACAGTGTTGCTAGCCTTTTTTTTTCTTAGATATTAGTCTTCGAGTTATTTCTTAGAATTTGACCCTAAAAATTAATGGAGTTGGAAGAAGTTCGTAAATAAATCCAAAAAGTCTGGCATGAAAGAAATAAACCCATAAATGTCGAGTGAAATTCGAAAACCGCTTATCCCACTCTGTGAAAAGGCCATGGAAATCAATAAAAATGTTTCTGAGTTTTTCACTAAGTTTTTGACGGTCGAAGAAGCACCAAATGGTCGTATGGATGGAATTTAAAGAATGTGAAAACAATTTTAATTGGATGCTATTCAATTTTTTATTGTTGTTGTTCTTAGTAGGCCTAACTATGGTATTTTATACATTAATTTATAACACTCCTGTTGTTTTATATAAATGTATAATGTATTATATAATGTTATATATATTTTGTTAATTAATTAATTACATTCTAAGATTATTTTATATATTTAACAGAAATGTTTTGATTTTATTAAATTTGAATTAATTATTTTAATTATTTGGCGACTTTTAAAATTTTGAAACAATAAATGTATCTAT